AAGGTCAGCAGTAGGTTAAAGGTTCTTATCACCATGTACACAGCAGATTGGAATTGTCTGGAGAGTGCAGATGACATCAGCTAGTACATATTGCCTGTGCACAAGGGTCTGAGTACTGTGCTCCGCTCAGTGCTTTAAGAATTTTCCCATTAATCTTCACTGTGTTCATTTTCATAGACTGATTACAAATAGGTTTAACTTCAACCTTCTGACATGGAACAAATACATTTGAGTGAGATTAGCTGGGTTTTTGGGGGGAACGTGGTTTGGTGTGACCTTCTTGTCTGCACAGTTTACAAATTGGTTCTCTACTAGGAGGTTTTTTAAATAAGCTTGTTGATTCTCCCTTCCAGGGGCGTACCCACCCCTGGCATTGACCTCCCGTGGTGTTGATGCGGTGGTGGCCTGTGGGTGTCCTTAGCAGTCTTCCAGGAAGCATTGCTCCTTGGCTGGCTCTTTTTGCGGGTGGCAACAAACATGTCAGCCAGGGTGGCAGCTTCAGCGGCTGATTTAGGACCATGCTTCTTAATAAACCTCAGGCCACATTCTCAAGTATTGTTCCATTATAATGATGTCACCAATCTCTGCAACCGTTTTGCCTCTAGGCTGGATCTACTTCACATAGAGCTCAAGCTCCTTTGGGCTCTGTCCAGGTGCAATGTCGATGGAGCGAAACCTCTGCCTGTAAGGTTATTATCATATTTTTTACCTTGCCATAATCAGATGAATCATCCATATGCACATAGGCACCTCTGGCCTTACCAGTCAACAGTGGTATAAGGTGAAAGTCCCAGTCAGATTTTGGCCACCGACAAGCCACTGCAACTCTCTCAATAATTTTCTGTAAATTTCTCTAGTGTAGGCCTATAAAATAATCCAGACTGACATTTTGAACCTGTGGATGAATGAATTCTTTCTGAAGGGGAGGCAGCTTGGGCCTGTGGGTGGTGGTTATCTGCATCTTATTCTCCAGGGCCTGTGGCAGAATTGAACTGGGCTCTGGGACAGTAGACGTGCAAGCCTGCACTTCTAACTGCAGAAGCTGCAACTGATGCTGCAGTGCCTTGAAATGACATTCGTGTCGCGTGGCCTCCTCCTCCTTGCGTGGCCTCTTAGCGTTGGTTTGCAAACATCTTCACGCTCAGTGCCTCTGGTTCCATCAGAAACGTTATACTCCTGTTCTTTTGGTCCAATGTGTGGGTCTTTAGTCTCTGCTCGATTTGCTCTCGTGCTTTTTTGCTCATAACAAAAAAAGTAGAGAAGAAAATGAATCTGTGTCCTCAACCAGCTGATCTCACCACTGACACCCATGTGAGGGACTGAGCAGGCAGACAAGAGGAGTGACAAGCGGTTTTCAAAAATAAAGGGGTTTTATTCACAAATAAGAAAAATAATTAACTGTCAACTAATCTAGATAAACAAAGTATGTTACATAAAACAAAAGCCATGTGTTGTTATTTTTCTGTTTTGCTGTTGTATATGTGAATGTAATGTAAATAAGGTAAACTAAATGGATAAATAATAAAAATAAATAAATAAATCAACTATAAACTAAAGTGAGTTCAGGAGGGTTACTGACATTTTAAAGTCACTGTGTGGCAGGAGGTGCAGCCATCACCAGTTGCCTAGCAGAGATTTTCCCACGACTTAACCACTTATGCACCAAGTGCACCTTGTAAATATATTCCCACCCTTAAGTGAGAATAGACCTTTTTCATGGCAGCCCTTTTGACATGAAATAGTAGTAAACACAGGTGAATACACTAATCACATTCATTCAGGTTGTGCTCTATTTAGATAGAGCCTTAATAAATGTGCAAATGTTTGAAACCTTTTCAATGCTCAAGGCTCTTATTTTGAAAAATGAGACGGTGGTTGTTAAGCTCGCGAGACTGTCGCATTCATCACAAGCATGAATGGCTTAAAACAGATTAAGTTAGAAGAGATATGTAAATAGACATGGGGTCTAAATTCAGGTTGGTCATCACAGACGTTATGTGAGAAGTGAACAACATGAATTATTGGTCGTACATTGTACAAATGGCAAAATTATTGTAAAAATATGATAATTATAGTACATCTGGCAACACTGGACTGGTTGCGTGACCCCGTGCCAATTACATCAGTTTGCAGCGTGGGTGTCGTTGGCCTCGGCAGTTGGGAGACAATTGATGAGCTGGAGTATTCTGCTGTATTAAGCACTGAAACTATTACTGTGTTGATTAATTAATTTAGGTTAGGTTTTATTTATTATTTAATTTTGTTATTTAAATTTGTTAAGAGAATAGCACTTAGTTATATTTGTATTTTGGAGTTAAGTTAAAAAGTTGTTCGTATTGTTTACCTGCTTTTTGTGCATTTTAAAAGTATCGATTTAGCATGTGTATTGTCAAAAACCCAAATGATACCCAACCCTATGTTAAGCATTGACCTGAGCGGGACATCCATCCTCTCATCTCACATCTGGAAAAAAATGAAAGGCAGAACCATTGGTTTGAGGAATTCAGTTCGCTCCTCCTCTTATGTTGTATGTATGTGTTGTAACTGTAAGCAACAGCCTCTCTGTTCCTTATTGTTTCTGTGTGCCTTTTAAAGATTGTGGTCTTTTAATTCATTATTCAGAGGTTCTGAGTAATGCCTGATCCGATCACAGAACGTTGATTTCTATGCACTCATATGAAAGTAGGACTACTACACTCAATTATGTAACAAATACTGATGGGATTTCATCCACAATCTTCTCAGTGCTCAACACTGGCTGTCATCAGATAGAACCTTACAGAAAGAGAGAAATCAGGCTGGTTTGATAAATATTTATGAATTAATTCAAATGAATGCTCTCCTCTTTTTACTGATACACTGTTTGCAATCCCTGACTGAAAATGGAGGCATTGATTTCTATGGCACAGGGATCCTTGGTTACTGATTGTGGAGCTTTGCCATTAACAGCAGCTTCTTCAGCAGTGATTGGAGCAGGTGGCTCCCTACGCTGCTCCCATTGGTAATTCCACAAATACACTTGCCTTATTACATACAAAGCTCCACCCTGCTCTACAAAGAAGGGGGAGCCAAGGGGTGTGGAAGAGAGGGATTCTAAGCCCGGTGTGCAGTCTTACAGGCAAGATGTTTATCTGTATTTGTTTAGCCTGGCTTTTTTTGTTCCCTTTAGAAATGTTGTATCCCATTAGCCAACAAAATATAAAACTAATTACATTTAAGGTATCAGATTTTTGAAGCAAGTATAGAAAAACAAATGGAGTCAGAGATAGACAAAAAGTGGGGAACAGGGAAATGTTTTTCAAAGTATTCATATTGGTAAATGTTTTTATTTAATTTTGACAGGGCCACCCTAGTCTGATATCTGCGACATGAAGAAACACAACAATCCCAGATGGATCCACACTTGTGGACATCATGGTAGAATTAAGCAATAACCAAGCCATCATTCTGTAAGGTTGTTGAAAACCTTTGTACTGTATAAAGATGAGGAAAAGATGTGAGTGTAGAGTTTCAACAGGAACAGTGACTGAAGTGAAGTCTGCTTAGAGATATCAGTGGCGGACAACAGAAGATTGACAGAGAAGGTCAGTGCAGGAAGTGATCAGATGGTGTCAGTAACAGTCTTTCCACTGTTACACAGGGAAGGATAGTCTGGTTACAGGTGGCCGTAGATAAATCCCTTACTACAGACATGAAGTCATAGCTTCAAGAGTTCAGTGCTGTCAAATTCAGTCACTGGTGGAAAACAGTGATATGGTCACATGAGACCACTACTCTGACTAGACTTTTGGCAAAATAAATATCCAATCTAATTGAAATTTTATAGCATAATTGTAAAAAATCCCTATTGAAAAACTGTTATGTGTGATATTTTAGCTAGATTCATCACTGGAGTGGAGTTTTTAGTAGATTAGACCTAATAAAATACTACTTAGAATACTTTTATTTTCATCATTTGTTAGTTGAGGGCTATGTAGGTGTGTGTTCACTAGTTTGAATATCATTGCTGGTGGCTATTCTCTATTATTCTCAAATCATCAAGGACAGCTATAGTGCATTATGCAATCACAGTTTACTTTCCAATTCCATCTGTCTGTCTGTATGTGGAACGCATTTCCTGTGATCCGTTCAATTAAAAGGCTTCACTCTTGAAATGTGCATTGTAAATCACCCGAAAAAACACAGCGTGTGTTTGGTGTGATACATTCAAAATGAATAAAAATGTAATAAACAGAGGACCAGTGCTCTGTAGTAGTAAGTGGGGGCGGTGGAGCTTGCTGCCAATCCTTGGATAAACTACAGGAGCAGTTGGTAACAGGGTCAAACCGTGGGTCAAAATCACAGTCAGATCATTTTTATTTTGACTATTAATCTTTTATTGTACCATATCGGACACAGACACTTGGCCCTGACGGTTGCTCTCCTGGCAACAACATTCATAGAATAATTTTCTGTCAGGCAACATGTCTTTAAAATGTTTTGTTGCTACAATGCTTTATACTGAGTGGTTATAGAGCTTTTATTTTGAAAAGTTGGATCTAAAGATTGTGTTGAGGGCTCTAAAATAGCCAGCATACAATTTATGAAAAATATAAGCATTTAATTAAATTAATTATACATTGAACATAAAATCTTCATTGCAGATAAACAAGGTTGGACAAATGCAAAGTTTTCAGGCATCACTCTGCACAGAAAGGTTCAGCATGCAAACAATAAAAAAGTGAAAGTATATTGTAAAACTGCTTGAGGAGGACAAGGGCTCACTGACAGCAATGAATAATTCTGAAGTAGCTCCGGAGCATCACCAGAGGACAAGGAAACAGCCCTTTTCGAACAGACTCAGTGGCGGTGACGTTAGATCCACTCATTCCAGTCAAACTTGAAGTTTTGCTGAAGCCTCCTTCTCGTGGCCCCTCCTCTGACTGCCTGTCAGACAGCACCGCGGGCACAGCCGGCGCCTCGCTCTCCGTTTGCTCCTGGTACCCAAACACACTGTGAAACGCCGCCTGACAAACGCTCATCAGTTACTTCATTAACGGATACTGGTGAGGGACGGTGACCGCGGAGCATCTGCCTTCACACACGGTCCTGTTTTTTTCATCTGGATGATCTGAGAGGAGCCGGGTGAGTGTCCACATCACATGTGAGCTGCCCACACACACACACGCACACACACACACACACACAGGCGCGCACACTATGTTGACATTTTTCACATTCAGCGCCATTTGCAGACAGGTACACCTACCGCCCCTTTTTATTGTCCCCGCTGTTTCTTTGGAGTTTAATGAAGTAAATGGCGCAGGGAAATGCGGATTCAAATGTTTCACACTGATTTCACATGTGAGGCTGTTCACACAGCTGCTGGGATGATGTGAATGGGAGCGGATTGGACGATCGGGTCTTTGTAAACAGCGATACTTTCTCTCTTTGATTTGATTTTTTTTTTTTTTACCTCTGTCGCAGAATCATCACAGTGAAAACGGTCTCTTGCGGTATTTCTAATCTCTATCTATGATTTCTGTTTGTGTGAATCCTCCTGGAGTCAGGCTCCATGTCAGCGTCCACTGTGGGAGCAGGCGTTCGTCTGTGGCGTCTGTGTTCTCCAGCAGACTGTAGAGTCACCATGGAGACTGACGGTGGTTTTCCAGCCGTGCGTTTGATTGTTCTGTCGAACGGAGAATCGTCGGCACCATTCAATTTAAACCGGGAGTCCAGAGGAAACATGTCGGTCTTATTTTTGCGTCTCGTCATTTACCCTGCGTTATTTCAAGTCGTTCCATATTGATTTATTTAACATTAAGACAGGAGCTGCACATGCACTGGAAGGAGAAGCTAAAGACAATCGATGGTGACATGATAGAATCAAAGAGAAACTAAACAGATAATAATGAGGTGAAATACGTTGAGATAAAATAATGTTGGATACAAACAAAATCAGGAGACAAGCTCAGTCTGAACAGGAGCTCTAGGGCAGCACCACAGGAAGTCTGGTCCCCTCTGGTTTTGAGATGAGAGTGACCTGAGTGACCTGGGGGTGGAAGATGGGATAGGTGATATCATGAGGAGCTAAACCGTGTCATAAACAAATAGTGAAGGTTCAAAAACCAGTTCTGCAGTTAACTGGGAACCACTTCAGCTGTGATATGTAAAAAAAAAAATCAATTTGGATCAGTTGTAATCAAGGTGGAACTGGTCCACCCAACATACAGGGAGCTGCAGATGGATGATTGTTTTAGATAGACACAGCTTCTAAGTATGACGTGTTGCAGACACTAGATATTTCATTAATGGCATGCCTCTTTACCGAATTTAGTCCCTCTAACAAATACTGTGTACCTAGCTGTAAGGTCAAAATAAAAATGTAAAAAAACTACATTTTGAATCGTCAGTTATAACAAACTGTAGTTGAAGAGTTAGATTGAATCCGCTGGAAGTCTGTTTGTGTTGTAGTAGTGCAGTGGTTGTTCTGACCTGTCTGTTTGGTATGGGCTGTTGATGTTTTAGAGAGTCCTCCTTAAACAATATACTGTCACTTTGTATTGTTTGTGTGCTGGACGTTGTGTGCTGATATTTTTACAAGTAGGTTTTGCAGTTTAAATTAAACTGAATTTGCTTTATTTTTGTCAGTCGAATATGGGGAAATGAAAATAATCCGAATATCAGAATGATCTGGCAGGGATTTTCACCTGCAGTTTGTCCCAGTTATAGACCGTTGCTGTAATTTATCCAAGGATGTTGAAGAAGACATTTACAACTCGGCCCACACACTGTTGGCACGCTATGCCACCCCCACTGACTGCTTCATAGCACTTTATTCAAATTTTATAATATTGATTCCAAATCGCACCAAATTTGGCACTGCACTTCCCTGGACCATTGAGAAAACACATGCCAAGTGTGAAGCAGATCATTTTAATGAGATATGCATTTCCCAGACAGACATTTGTGGAATTAATACGTAGATAGTAGGTACATAATAATCATACATCGACATGTAAATGTTTATAATATTCATATAATGCTGCTGGTGAAGGTAGATCACTGTTAATAGTCAATTATCATTTTCATACATCCTTGTGGAGAACCTGATCTTCACGTCTCCTTTAACCCCTCAATGTTTTTTTTTTAGAATTTGAAACACTTACTTCTGTGGGGTCATTTAAGTTAGTTGTATTGTCCCAGCTGATACATTGAAGACTTATATGAGTATATTCAGCTGTATCCCCAGTCAGCAGCTGTATCAAAGCTGGATGTAACTGGCCCATGTGTCAGTTTTAAAGAGCCAGGGGTCTTTTTCCTTATGGTGATGCTGTGTGAAATGTGCAGCGTGTCCCCTGAGGTGAGCATGAAAATGATCTGATGTGAGGTAGGCCTTTATCATGTACACATCACTTACTCATGAGTGTGGCACAGTGGTATGATGCAGATAGAGCTGCAAATGAAAGGCACAAACCTTAATATCTTTGTAGTTTTTTGAATTTTACATACTTAGTGAAGACGTCAAGTAAAAGTCAATGAAGTAAAAAAAATGCGAGTTGAAGTGAAAAATGCATGTGGGCGGAGGCATTGGTAGTGGCGTGAAGTCCTCGCCAACGGAGAGCAGGCTGTCGTCATGACTTTTCATGTTGAGCTGCTATTAACTCTGTCAATTCAGCACTATTGGCTATATTGTAAAAGTCAATCAATATCCAGATCAATTCTCTCTATAGCATTTAGTTTTTACCAGACACACGCAAATGTGGGGAAGCGTTTGTTCTTTGTAGTTTTCGTCTCCTGTTTTCATATTAAAGATCTCTTGGCTAGTTTGTAGCTGAAATGTTCCTCGTGCACCTGCAGAGGCTTAAACCAATCAAACACTGGTCATGTGCAGAGAGTAGATGAGTAGATGAGTAGATGTCGGCTACTTGGTGTGGCACTTCTTCCTCATGTCTCTCTTGACTCATCTGCCTCTCTATCTGTGTCTATATTTATCTCTCCCATCCTGATTTCTTTCACACTCACATGCTCATCATGTTTGTTCTTCATCCCTTGTTTCTGCTGGTGAACAAAGGAAATCATGCTGCCACACTGTACATCTCCTCCTTTCTTCCATATTAACAAACATTGACATAAACGTTCTGCAAAAAGAAATGGACAGAAGGAGGGAGAATAGGAAAGAAAGGAAAATGTAAGACAGAAGTAAATACATGCCACTGCAAATACTAACACTGTGTCCTGGCACTGGGTTGTTCAGTTTGAGTTGAACTTCCATTTATTCCAATTTTTTTGTGTCACATTCAGTCTAACCCTGTGAATTAGACACATATCTCAAACATCACACACTAACTGATGAGTTCAGTGTGAAAGTTCATTCTTGACCTCGGTAATAATTGTTTGACACAATAAATGTGACTGAAATTCCACTTAAGAACTTCTTCTGGAATTCAAACCAACATCGTCTTCATTTGCAAATAGAATTGCGATTGCAGTCAAGATACATTGAGAACATATTTGAGATCCAATCCCTCAGACCCCATTTAGAGGTGTTCTGGGACAAATGTCCAGGGCCACACTGAGGGACCACTTACTCATCTGACCTGCTTCATAATGAACCAAAAGCTTTTTTACACTTCTCAATGTTTCATGACCAACACATTATTATTTGCCATTTTAAAAAATGTTGGTTCATAAGAAATGTGCGCATTGCATTGATTCCCCTCCTTGCCCCCCCTCCCTTTATCTTTCACATTCTAAAACAAACACACACACACACACACCATCTGTATATACTCAGACAGCAGCATAATTTTATCTTGTGAACAGGAATTAATAGCATGGAATGGAATTGAGATCTGCTCACAAATGGTCATTGGAAACACATGTAGAGACCCGTCGTGATTTATTTGGTACAATATGAAAGTAAAGGTTGTGCAATTTGAGATGATCTTCATTTAAGTTTATTTTGTCAAACAATATGTTGACATCAAACACGTTACACCTTTATACAGAACCACTTGAGCAAGAAAATCTTTCCCAGATAAGTTTGTTGAATTCATCGTAGGAGCAGCTGCACACATTTTTCGGAGCGTGGCTGAAAATGTTGGCAGCATTTGATTCAGTGCGGGCACTACACCAGCAAAATGACTTAATGAATAATAAATTCAATTGGCAATAAGACCCAATTTTGGTATTTTCCATATAATACTATGATATCGCTGCAATCAAACATCAAAGCTGTATATCATCATGATGCAGATTTCGATAAAGAAAATTATTGATATTTTTGTGTGTCTTGAAATTGTTTACTTCCTTCACTTTCACTGATGCTTTCTGTCCAGCAACTTTATCCCATGGGTTTGGTCGTGTGACCCTTTACTGCCCTCTCCCCACACTGTTTCTGTAATGCTTTAGCTTTTGGGGTATTTTTTTTTATTTTACTTGTGTCTCTCATTAAATATTCACTGCCTCCGATTTCATCTGGGTCAACCTGACTCCCAGTTTCTGTGTTGTCAGAGCTCATGCTAGCAGCTGTGTTTGTGTGTGTGTGTGTGTGCGTGTGTGTGTTGGGACAAGGAGGGAGGGGTGTCCAGCAGTGACTGATAGACATCCGGCTTCCTCTGGCCTCCACATCATCACACAGCAGCCTTTAATCCCACACAGGGCCCGATTAAATTTAAAGCCGATTTCAGTCCTTAAGCTCACTTTCAGCACTCAGGCAACCACACAGTCTGAAATACAGATACGCTTAAGTATGTTATTCCTTTTCACAAATGCATTTCAGTTTGAACCTGTGAACCAGGCTTCACTCTGTGTCTAAATCTAAGAATCTATTTGAAATCTTGAAACATTTTATCACATCATTATTTTACTTTGGTCCGTGCTTGACTGTGTTATTGCTCATAGAATGCAAGATCATTTCCATTACTTCCATCAGCAACGGATTTAGAAAGAATACAAGTACAGGTATGTGTCCTGTATGGTCGGTGTGTTAAGATCTGCGACCTCTTACCTTACAGTAGTTTTGTGTGAAACGTTTTTGACCCTTCCTTCTGTACTGTGGAGCAGCAGAACTGCTCAACCACTTCAGGCGATGAAACACAGTCTGTGTCTGATGTAAGATTGCCAGGGAATGAGGCAATGGT